AGTATATCAAATTAATCTTCTTTTGATGAGTTTCGATTTAACATCCATATTGTATATATAAAAAAAAATATTTTATATTTATCTTTATAATAATAATAAAATTATTTTTAATATTAATTAGAAAAATAAAATTATTTATCAACTAATATATTTATATTTCAAATAGTTATATGATATAAGTTATAAAAACTAATATAATATAAACATGTAAGTCATAAGTAACACACATCATTCTAAAATATATAGTAATATTTTTTTTTGTAAAAAAGTAAACTAAATTTAATATAGTTTTCTCATTAATTTTAAAATTTCAGAATAATTTTTTAACAAGCACCCGTGTAATAAACGGGTGTTGTACTAGTATACCCCTATATATTAATCCAGAACGCGCTGAGCCTACGTGGCTGCTTCTGGTGCTTCAGAATCCTATGTGGCAAAGTTACATGTTTCGTTGTTAGGTTTGGATAAATTTTAATTTAATTCCAAACCAAAAATAATTAGGTTCGGATTACCATAAATATGTTGATTATTTATGGTCATTTTACATGCATTAATTGTATTTTAATATCATTTCTTATCATAACTATTGAATTGTATATGTATTTTAAAAGTTAATAACTTTTGTATTTTTTATCAGTTTTATATATATAATATATCAAATAATCATCTTCGATTTAACATCCATATTGTATGTATAAAAAAAATATTTATATTTATCTTTATAACAATAATAAAATTATTTTTAATATTAGTTAGAAAAATAAAATTATCTATCAACTAATACATTTATATTTCAAGTAGTTATATGATATAAGTTATAAAAACTAATATAATATAACACATGTAAGTCATAAGTAACACATATCATTCTAAAATATATAGTAATATATTTTTTTGTAAAAAAAGTAAACTAAGTTTAATATAGTTTTCTCATTAATTTTAAAATTTAAAAGTAATTTTTTAACAAGCACCCGTGTAATACACGGGTGTTGTACTAGTTTGTTATTGAAACTAAAATTTAGATTATTTATTATAAATTTAGTTAATGGTTTTTTTTTTTTTTTTTTTTTTTTTTTNTTTTTTTTTTTTTTGACATTTGTTATCAATTTTTGTAGTTGTACTACACAAAACATATTTACTTAGTTTTTATTTACGTAAGCATAAGAAATACTAACCAATCAAGAAATTTAATTTTATATTTTATATTTATTATAAGTATTGCAAACTAACACTAATATGTTATTATTCGTACAAAATATGATATACAAGAAAAATCGTCTTACATTAATGTAATATGTCAATATAAAATAATTTAAAATGAGAAAAAAAAAATAAAAATAATTTGGCTATATATATATATATTAATACTTATTTTGTCCAAGCTAAGAATTGAGAAAAGATCAATACATATATAATAGAGTTATATTATTACAATCAAATGCAATAATAATAGAGATATATTAATAGAGTTATAATAGAGTTTTTTTTGCAGGTTTGCAGATCTCAGGGCAATGGACAATAATAATAGAGTTATATTAATAGAGTTATAATAGAGTTTTTTTTTTTCAGGTTTGCAGATCTCAGGGCAATGGAAGGTAATAATTTTTTTGTTGTTATTCTTAGTTTTTAAATGTACATAATAATTATATATTGATATGCTATCTTTTAAATTTTAATTTTAATTTTATTATAAATTATATTTCTTTCTGTATGCAATCTAAACATAGTTTAGCTATTTATATTATGCTAATATCTTAATTATATATCTAGATAGAAAGTGGAAAATGGTTGGATGTGATTCTAAACATTTCTATGTAAGTATTCAATAAGTATAAAAAATACTCATGAAACATGTAGAAAATTACTCATCTAAAATATCTCATTATTCTCTACCAAAAAAATATATCTAATTATTCTCTAAATATTTTAACATATAATTTTTATAAATTTACTAAATAATTGCATAATAATACCAATTGTTGTAATAATTTAGTTTTTTTAATATATTTTATTAGAAAATCAGCTATAAAAATTTGGGTTAGAACCTGTTTTGAGTGAACATTTTATAGCTAAATATTTTAATTGAATTGAATTAAACTGTTTAAAAAAATCTACCTTTCGAATATATATACTCGTGATATATTTATTTTCTTAAAATTAATTTTCAAAAAGTGATAAATAAATTATTTAAGTTAGCCATTAACGAGCACGTAAAACGTTGGTTGTGAGATTCCAACTCATCATCATCGCCCATCGGGCATTGCGTGATCAATGGACACATGGTTCAAACCCAAAAGATTTGTTCTGTATATAGTATGTTATGTATAACTTTTTTTTTGTACTCAAATCAGATGGTGCTTTAAAAGGGAGAAAACACCTTTTTCAGAAATATATTCGTACATTGTATGTGTTCATACCCAAATAAATAAGATTTGTTGATTTTCCGTTGGATTCGTCAAATTTCATAATGGTACCGACATTTTAAAATCCATAACAATTTGATACTCTTTTCATTCAAAATTATAAATTTAGTAGATCATTTAAATTGAATTATATTATGATAACTATACACATTTAATTTAATTTAGTTAGTCAAAGAATGAACAGATTCTTGAACACTAACAGGAGTTCTAGTTGAATAACCCATTCAAAATTCTTTCATTTGCATATTCAATTGCAAACCAGAAAAAGAATCAATAATCTAACATGCCACTCTTCATTTTAGCTTCTAACAAAACTGCTTTGCATTCTCCCTGGCCACGGCATCGCGAGTCCTCAGCCGCTCGTTCTCCCGAGCGAGGAAATGAAGGCGCTCGTCTTTCTCTATGACATAGTGTTGTAGGAGTGAGTTTTCTTGACGGGCAATGCCAGCGGCAGCCTTGGCGGCGTTGGCCTCGTTGACCGCCTGCTTGAGGATGTCTCGCAACTTAACATTCTCACGTTGGGCTGCAGCCCGCTCGTCCTCGGCCCGCTTGATGTAGCTAACGAAGCCCATCTCCTTCTCGCTCACAGCCAAAAGGGTCTCCTCAGCCTCGATCTTGAGGCGGTTGGCTGTATTCTTGTGGAGCTCGGATTCTTGCTTGGTCTCATTGAGCGTCTTTCTCACTTGCTCGTTTTCGAGTCGTGCATGGTTTAGCTCGGCTTGTGTGGTCTCGAGTTTCTCCTTTGCTTGGTTGGATTCGGAGGCGACTTCTTTCAAGGCCAGGGCTAAGTCCTCCATGGCTTTCGCGCTTTTCTCCTCGGCCTCGATCGCGAGCCGCCGCTCATTCTTGAGGACTTGCATTTCCTTGAGGGCCGATTGGAGCTCGAGTTTAAGAAGGCCGATCTCGTTTTCTTCTTGTTTTTCTTTATGACTTGTATTTTGAGCAGATAGTTTTTCTTCTAGGGACTCGATTGTTTTGCGTAGGGTGACGGTCTCGGTCTTGGAGCTCTCGAGCTCATCCTCGAGTTCTTGAATTCGTTTTTCGTTCTCGTGCAATAACATGGCCGTGCGTTTTTCGCCCTCCTTCGAACCACTTAATTCCTTGTTCATTTTATCCCAAGGTGCGGCCTTTTCGGACTCGAGGTGTCTTGATTTCACGAGCTCGGATTCCAAGGAGTCGACCATCATGTTGCTTTTAGTACTTTTCAACTCGTGTCGTGAAGCTTCTAGCGAGCTTTTCGTGCTTTCGAGTTTGGTTTTGAGCTCGTTAGCCTTGTTGGGGTGTAAGAAGGCTTCATTGGTCCTCATCTTGGCCTGGGATGATTTTGAGGCCTTGGACTGCTTCTTATTATCAACAGATTTAAGGGCCTTTGCATCGATTTGTGTCCGTATAACATCGCCTCTACAAAGCTTTGATGCCGAAAGGGTCTTTGAAAATATGGGTGAATAGTTGTTCTTTTGTGTAACGTCAACAGACCTACAAATCCAACATAAATTAATCACATTAATTCAATTAATTGAAAACATTGAACACCAAATTCTTTCACTTGCCAATTGTCATGCTAGAAATGTACACACAATAAGATTCAAAAAATGAAAAAAAAAAAGAAAAAAAGAAAAAAAAATATTTACAAATATAAAAATAAAATGAAATTCAAAAAATTAGGAGCATGTATCATAGATTCAATCCTCCCCAAAAAAAAAAAAGGCATACAAATTGTATAGTCCAAGATAGAGAAATGCTGATTTGTAACCGTTAGATCAACTATCCATGACGAATACATGATGATCTAACGGTTACAAACCCGATGAAATGGTTCCGTAAACTTTAACAAGAAGATAAGCAAAAGTGAAAATGGAATGCTAGAAGAAAATGCATGTTGAATAGTACCTTGTTTTGGAACGTAACATTGTTTTTCTTATACTCAGAATTTATCAGGTGGAACAAGAAATATGTAAGACACATATCATGTGTATAATTATGTGTTTGTTTATTACTTTATTTTCAACTAACGAATGAGGCTGTTTGGCGTCACGGACATATATATAGCCAATGGCAGAAAGGAAAAAATTGGCATACATGGAAAAAAAGACACATAAAGTGAAATAATTATATAAACATAGTAAAAAATATCAAAGGATTTGACTCATAATCTCATTATGTAATTATGCTTGTAATAGGAAACATTATGAAATTATGAGATAGAAATTTTGTATGCATAATTATGGAGATTTTCATGATGGACACAATAAACATGACTTAGGAAAATTTACAGTATTATTTTTGTTTCAATCTTCTAATTGCAGGTTCGTTAGAGCACTCACAATGCATTGAGTCTGATTTTACATATGTGACATTTAAATAGACTTAAGTCCTAAGAGCACCCACAATGCTTTGAGTCTCTTAACGAAAAATCAAGTGACATATAAGAAATAGATTTAGTCTAAAAAAAGATGTATTCAAATACAATAAAAGATAGACTTGGTCTAGCTTATGTGACACTAGCAAAAGGAGACCAAGCCCACTCTTGGGTCTATTTTGGACCCAAGTACAAACCTACCTAGTCATCAATTATTCACAGTTTTCTTTTTTTTTTTTTAAAGGCAAAACATATATTTTTTTTTATAGGCAAAACATATTCTTTTTTTAAATGACATGGACAAACCCAAGCAAAAAAACTTAAAAGCTATTCAATACAAAAATAAAATAATAGGTCTAGCATATATGCCAACCAATAAAATTGCTTTAATATATTTTATTTATTATAATAAAATTTAAATAAGAAATAAATGATGAGTACTTGAGTTTGTACTTGGATCCAAAATAGACCCAAGTGTGTACTTGGTCTCTTTTTTTTTTTATTGCCACATAAGCTAGACCATGTCCACATTTAATTGCATGGGGGGACATTTTTTAATAGGCTAAGTCTATTTCCTATGTGGCATACGATATTTTATTAAGAGACTCAATTTGTGGGTGCTCTTAGCTTGGATAAGACAAGACAATTTTTTGTAGGGGTTCAGATTGCATTGTAGAGTTCAGGTGCAAACTATGAGGGTGTATTCAACAAGGATTTCTAATGACTTAAACTAATTTAAAAAATCTGGTGTAGTCAATTTAGATTTGTTATGACTTAATTTTTAAAAATTTTAAAAATAATGGGGTATTCAATTAGGATTTTAAAAAGCCTTACAAAATCCCGAGTGATTTAATTTATTTGACACTGAAATTTGTTAAGACTTTTTAGGATTTGAAGTGAGATTTCGTATAGATTCTAAACAAAAAACCTTATACATAATCCCACTTCAAATCTTACCTCCAGACTTAAGATTTTATAGAATTCTTCTAAAATTTGAAAATCTTAAAAAATCAGAAATTTTTATAAATATTAAAATGTTACTTAAAATCTCAATTGAATACACCCCCTATATTTGTTAAATTGGACTAACCCAAGATAAAATATTCTGGATATTGTGTGTTAGACATTTGTTTGCCTAAGCCATTAATTTGCCCTTATATTAAACTACTAGTGCAGAACTAGAACTCGTGCACAATCCTAAAACTAATAGAATAAAAACTAATATCTATATATATATTAAAAACCAACTTATTTACCAAAAGTAGTAGCAAGAAAAGTCAACATATATTTAATGCATACCTAATTTGGAAATTTTTTACTATATGCATTAAATGCTTGCATATACTATCCAAATATGATTAAAGATTTTTTCCTTAAATAATTTATGCAATGATTTAATTGATATCCATTATAACTAGTGTGTATCCCGTGCGATGCACGAGTATATAAATTTACAGAATACTATAATTTGACATGCATTAGATATATGAGAGTTTAATACATACGAACATTATTCATCATAAAATGTTCGTCACGAAAAATTTTTATATTATTAAAAATTTTTTTGTACACAACATTATGCGTTTGATTATTGGATAACTCGTTGTGAGGAGCACACGGACCGACTCGGGACGGACGCAGGTTGCACAAAGGGTTACGAAAATTGGGCCTCACTCAACTGGGCTCCCTTGCTGGGCTTCTCTCCTGGGCTGCGGATGCTGATTATTGTCGTCGAAAAAATTACCCCCGCGCTTGGACCACTTTTCTAATTCCCAACTGTATTATAAATTATATTTTATTCCTATTTTAACTCTTTAATTCCTATTCTATGTAGATAGTTATTTTACATACTCAGTTATACTAACAAAGTATATTTTTAGTTTGAACCATATTTTCCTTAATAGTGAGTTGAATAATTTATAGATTGAAACATAATTTAATGATTTCCTCTAATTTCTCTCCCCTCTCCCCTTCTCATATTCCATATTTCACAATTTTCTCCAAATAAAACAAAAAATTGCATACAACAATTATTAAATCAAAATAAGACTGCAAATAAACGTAAACTTTTTCTTGATAATTTTTATATTTTTTTGAAATATTAATTGCAATGTTTCAGGTTCGACACAAAATTGGTTTGTTTTTTTTATATCTATCTATCTTAATTTTTTTTCAAAGTTATCCTTGATATGTTTTTTTATTTATAATATTATCTATCGTTCCGAAAAAAAAAATTCTTGATATGTGTTTTAGAGATATAAAAGATGACTTTTTCTGCAGTAACTAACCACCAAACTTAAATGATTTTTTGTTACAACTACTAACATTTTTTTGTTTGTTCGATTTTCTATTGAAATTTGTGAGCTGATATTAAATAACAATTTTTAGTTAATAATTTGACTACTTCTCATCATTAAGATCCACTACTTTTAAATATTGTGTGACAATAATGACGATTTTTGTAAAATGTGAAAAATGTGCATAGGATTGCATAGATTCAATAAAATCAAGACAGATGCGATAATATATGATAAATTCGATAGTTACGTTAAACAATTTTGTATAGGATATTAACCATATTTATCTAGATTACAAATTTTAAGGAAAGTATTATTACTGGTCGACTTTCTATTAGAGCACCCACAATGCTTTGGGTTTCTTAGAAAATAGTTACATGCCATGTAAGGAATAGACCTAGTCTATAAAAAAGTGTTCTCCAATGCAATTAAAAGTGGAACTAGTCTAGCTTATGTGGCAATAAAAAAATGAGACCTAGTCC